GAGGCACTGACGGATTGAAATTTACCGTTCAGGGGTTGAGGGTTGATGCCCCTATTATTGCAGGCACTTGAGGCGGGCCCTTCTCAAGTTTCCCAATTGGGGTGATGGGCTATAACCTCCTTGATAGCGATTTGTACCAGGCTCTAAGATTTCATCTACATAAATATCAACTCATGTATCTTCACCTGGTCTTCTGGAGCAGGAGTGGTTGGCTCCAGGACAGGAGCCCCGAGGTCCACCCCGCAGCCCTGAAGGCCGCGCAGGGAACTCGGGGTGCGCACGTGTCAGGCCCTATGCCTTGGGCAATCAACTCCACCTTCATTGCTACTCAAGTGAGGAGCTACCTGCCCAGCTGCCCCAGGGATGGCGGAAGGGTTTTCGCCTACGTGATCGCCCGGCAGACGTCAGACTGTCACATGGGACGTGGGCTGGTGTTTTGTCCTGAGGGACTGGCCGGCACATTGCAGGATGTCTAGCCTTCCTGCCTACTGCCCCCACCAACGCCAGTGGCTCCCGCACACGTTGTTGAGACCAATTCCAGCCCTGGTAGGGGCACTCCTGCCCCCAGGAGAACAATGGGCCCGTGGGCCAGGCCCTCCCCACACCAGGTCTTCACTCGGTGCTGTTCCCTCTCTCCACATCAAGGGAGCGTCTTCTCTTTCTGGGGTCTCCACGCATCCATCATTCCTCCAGGAAGCTCACCCTGATCCCGCCCACCACACGTCAACAGCCTCGTTAACTTGTCCATCTCTCCCCAGAAAGCCAGGACCGTCACCCCTCACCATCGACCCCCAGGTCCTCCTCAGCACCTGGCACACAGTAGGCACTCAGTCAGTGTTTGTCAAAGACGGGCTTCCTCGTGGTGGCTCCTGGTTCTGTGCCGAGCTCACTGGATCCTCACAGCAGTCCAGGAGGTGTTCTTATTCCCATGTTTCAGATGAGGAAGCGGAGGCTCAGAGAGGTCGGGTGACATGCCCAAGGTCACACAGGAAACTGGGACACAAATGTGGAACTTCACATCCTCTAGAGAAGATTTTCCATTCTCCCGCCCGCCCTCTCAGCACCCCAGCCCTTTCCATGCCCTTTCCCCAGCCCTTTCCATGCAGTAGAGGACTATGACGTCACTGCCAATTTGTACTATTTAATCCTATCAACTTTTTCACCTAGTCCCCCAAACTCCCTCCCAACTGGCAACCACCAGTTTGTTCTCAGTATCTAGAGTCTGTTTCTGTTTTGTTTTTTCATTTATTATGCTTTTTAGAGTCCATATAGGTGAAAATCATATGGTATTTGTCTTTCTCTATCTGACTTATTTCACTTAGCATAATACCGTATAGATCCATCCATGTTGTTGCAAATGGTAGGATTTCTTTTTTATGGCAGAGTAATATTCCATTTTATGATGTACCACTTTTTCTTTATCCAGTCATCCTTTGATGGAAACCTTAGATTGCTTCCGTATCTTGACTATTGTAAATAATGTTGCAATGAACATAGGAATGCATATATCTTTTTCAAATTAGTGTTTTGGGGTTTCTTTTGGATAAATACCCCACAAGTGGAAATTGCTCAGTCAATAATTTTTTTGTATTTATTTATTTATTTATTTATTTATTTTTATTACTTTTTTTCTT